GTACATTCCATTTGCAATCTTATCTTCACTGGAATCTGGATTTCTAAACTTCAATTTGGCTAAACTGTCAAAAAGCTTCGTCAGATGAATGGAAACCTGAAAAATGTTAAACAAGAAAGCAATAATTTAAACAAAATTATTTAATACAGTTTATATTGTAACATTTTTTTATTTCATTCTAAGCAAGGGGTCACCGAGTGTGAAAGAATAAAAAAAGAACATTATTAAAAAGTGGGAGTAGAAAAAGAGGTGGAATCAAGAAGATAGTCACTACATTTAAATTGTTGAAGATCAAAATTGACTGGGAAGCAAGAAACTGGAAGAGTTCCACAAGGGAGAAGTGTGAGAGAAAAATCTGTTAGCATAGAACTTAGTTGCATGTAGCCAATTAACTGTAAATTGGTGCAACCTTGTTGCAAACCTAGTACTGCACTTAAATTCATAAAGTCTAGGTACCATTTCAATTGCCATAGGGAAGCTACATTATGGTAGTGGGAAAATGAGTGAAGCCACGTCTGGACCAATAACATTGTGAATTCTTCCTTGGATTTTATCAAGAATCTCTAAATATATAGCAGGAGTACCACATGTGGCAGCAATATTCAAAGCATGGATGAATGGTAGACTTATAAATAAGCAAGATAGATTTTGGAAAGAAAAAATGTCTAGCATGACACAGAACCAATTTTCCTAGCAGCAGACTTAGCAATCGATTCAATATAATCTTTCCATTTTTGCACAATGATTCCAATTTCTAATTGTACAGTAGTTCCCAGTGTCAAAGAAGCTATTTTTCCCTTCAAAATAAGTCTTAAAAATTTACACTGCATTCTACTAGTCAGCGGTCACTTTCTTTATTTTCCTTAATTTTATGTTTTCTTTCTTTTCTTTTTTCTTTTTTCCAATTCAAAGTTGGGATAACTCCGTGTGTCTGGAACAGCCTCAAAGCCAGGAGATCAAATAATTATTTCCCAGTCTGTATTAATTTTTTTTTTTACTAATTTTTCTTTCATATTAATTTTACTTGCTTTTTGTTGCAACTACAAACATTAGTAAACAGTACAGACAGGAAATAAAGAAGTTTTCATAGTATCATTCAAACTTTTATCAGTTGGGGAGTTTGTTTTTCTAGAACAGTTCCTCTATAAACTTGAGCTACAAGACTTTTATGATTAGCAGAAAATAAAACTTAACCCTTCATATATACTCTTGTTTTCTTGCCAATTGCTTGGCACCATATTTGATGCTATAGTTTTTACAGCAGAACAATTACAGAATAACATTTGTTGTAATGAAAAGCAACCAAAATTAAGATGAAAATAATGAAAATAAAAAAAATAAAAAATGCTCCAAAAAAAAAATTCAATATTCTCTGTCTCAAATAAAATTTCAAAAACATATCTCTGTCTCTAAAAAAAATCTTTTCTTCAAATATGATCAACAAAAATATGTAATAATCTTAAAACAAAAATAACACTTATGGATGAAATATATATATACATATATAAATGTGTACACAATGAAGTGGGCAGTGCAGATGAATGATAACACATGTGGATGAATGAATTCTTATGGTGAATGAATATATTGAAAAGAATGAATGGGTTGTAAATCTGATTAGCTAGGCATAAGATAGCTAATGATGACAAACCTTAAACAGTCTCCACTCTTTTTTTTTGGCCTTGTACCACAATTACTGTATTGGGAATAAATCTTAGACTTAAATCTTTTGTATTTAACATTTTATTCAAATTTTGATTTTGTCTCTTACTCTTGGCAGTGTGTGTATGACAACCCCAATATAAACATGGACCTTATATTCTTGTCTGCAGTGTCTGATCAAATTCTCTTTAGAGCTGTTATTTATAATATGTAATCGTCACCCTTGAACAAACAGGTGAAGCAGTGAGGTTGCATAATTTTGCATTCAGTGGCTGCGAGTAACCTCAGGTCAACCTTGCACTTAGCTTTTCTTGATGATCTGGTGTGATATTGAATGCAAATTCAATTCTGTCATAATACTACAAATGTGTTCATTTACTAAATATTCTGTATGGTATTTGTGAGCATAATGTAACTAGAAGTATATTGACTATGGCATCTATAGTTTTATAACTTACTACTAAAAGCCAAAGCTAAATTATAAATCCGTAAACAAATAACAAAGAAAAGAAACATTAAAATTCTGGGGATAAATAAAAAGTCTTCAGTAAATTAAGAGTACTATTCACCTTGCATTTTGTGTATAGAAATCAATGTTACTTCATAGAATTTAGTTTCTCTCCTCTTTTCTTTATTATTCATGAAGTGAATACATGAAAGAAATTTGGTATTTGGGAGAAGATAAGCATTGAAAACAGTGAAAACTGAGGTTAGTTTTTTCATGGCTGCATAAGAGTGTGTTATACATTGTGTATTTAGGCAGCAATCTTCATTTATACATGTTTTACTAAAGACGACAAACAAGGTACTACGATTAAGCTTTTTATTTAATTTTTCTTGTGTTCAAACAGGTGATTTCTTTTTTGGACACAGAAATTCTGAGTGCTTTTAGCCATTATCAAGAATGGTTTTATATTTGCTTTTTAATTGTATGTATGGGTCGTGGGTATGTTTTTAGAGCTATAGGGGATGTTTTATTTGCCAAACACAGCACATTTGTGGGTGTGTTTGTAGCACTCAGTTAGAGAACATTTGGACAGTTTCTACACACTGTGTCCAGTGAGATAGTGAGGCACTGGAGGAGAGAGAGAGAGAGAGGGGGTGCGTGAGGCACTGGAGGAGAGAGAGAGGGTGTCCAGTGAGATAGTGAGGCACTGGAGGGGGGAGAGAGAGAGGGGTGTCCAGTGAGATGGAGGCACTGGAGGAAGAGAGAGAGGGGTGTGTGTGAGATAGTGAGGCACTGGAGGAGACAGAGAGGAGAGAGAGAGGGGGTGTCCAGTGAGACAGTGAGGCACTGGAGGAGAGAGAGAGAGGGGGGTGACAGTGAGACAGTGAGGCACTGGAGGGGAGAGAGAGTGGGTGTGTGAGTGAGACAGTGAGGCACTGGAGGGGAGAGAGAGAGGTGTCCAGTGAGATGTGAGGAGACAGTGAGGTGAGGCACTGGAGGAGAGAGAGGGGTGTGAGAGACAGTGAGGCACTGGAGGGAGAGAGAGAGGGGTGTGAGAGACAGTGAGGCACTGGAGGGGAGAGAGAGAGAGGGTGTCCAGTGAGATAGCGAGGCACTGGAGGGGAGAGAGAGAGAGGGTGTCACTGAGAGTGAGGCACTGGAGGGGAGAGAGAGAGGTGAGAGTGAGATAGTGAGGCACAGGAGGAGGGGGAGGGACAGAGAGTAGCGAGGCACTGGAGGGGGAGAGAGAGAGGTGAGGAGAAAAAGGCACTGGAGGGGAGAGAGAGAGAGGGTGTCCAGTGAGATAGTGAGGCACTGGAGGGGAGAGAGAGAGACAGAAGCGAGGCACTGGAGGGGGGAGAGACAGTGAGGCACTGGAGGGGGGAGAGAGACAGTGAGGCACTGGAGGGGGGGGAGAGTGAAACTGGAGGGGAGAGAGAGTGGGTGTCCAGTGAGATAGTGAGGCACTGGAGGGGAGAGAGAGGGTGTCCAGTGAGATGTGGAGGCAGAGAGGGTGTCCAGTGAGATGGGAGGCACTGGAGGGAGAGAGAGAGAGAGGGTGTGAGTGAGAGAGGCACTGGGGGAGAGAGAGAGAGGGTGAGTGAGAGGGAGGCACTGGAGGGGAGAGAGAGAGGGGTGTCCAGTGAGATAGTGAGGCACTGGAGGGGAGAGAGAGAGGGTGTCCAGTGAGATAGTGAGGCACTGGAGGGGAGAGAGAGAGGGTGTCCAGTGAGATAGTGAGGCACTGGAGGGGAGAGAGAGAGAGGGTGTCCAGTGAGATAGCGAGGCACTGGAGGGGGGGAGAGAGAGAGAGAGGGTGTCAGTGAGAGAGAGTGAGGCACTGGAGGGGGAGAGAGAGTGGGTGGTGAGATAGTGAGGGGAGAGAGAGAGGGTGTCCAGTGAGAAAAGGAGGCACTGGAGGGAGAGAGAGAGAGGGGTCAGAGAGAGAGGCACTGGAGGGGAGAGAGAGAGAGGGGTGTCCAGTGAGGCAGGCACTGGAGGGGGAGAGAGAGAGGGTGTCCAGTGAGTAGAGGCACTGGAGGGGAGAGAGAGTGAGGGCACAGTGAGGGGACTGGGGGGAGAGAGAGAGAGGGTGTCCAGTGAGATAGTGAGGCACTGGAGGGGGAGAGAGAGAGAGGGTGTCCTGGTGAGAGGCACAGGGGGAGAGAGAGAGGTGTGTGTGAGTAGTGAGGCACTGGGGGGGAGAGAGAGAGGTGTCAGTGAGGAGGCACTGGGGGGAGAGAGAGAGGGTGTCCAGTGTGAGGCACTGGAGGGGAGAGAGAGAGAGGGCAGTGAGGGGGGGAGAGAGAGAGAGAGTGGGTGTCCAGTGAGATAGTGAGGCACTGGAGGGGAGAGAGAGAGAGGGTGTCCAGTGAGATAGTGAGGCACTGGAGGGGAGAGAGAGAGAGGGTGTCCAGTGAGATAGTGAGGCACTGGGGAGAGAGAGAGGGGTGTCCAGTGAGACAGTGAGGCACTGGAGGGGAGAGAGAGAGAGGAGTGAGGCACTGGAGGGGGAGAGAGAGAGGTGTGTGTGAGATAGTGAGGCACTGGGGAGAGAGAGAGGTGTCCAGTGAGATAGTGAGGCACTGGGGGAGAGAGTGTGAGAGAGTGAGGTGAGAGCAGTGAGGTGAGGCACTGGAGGGGAGAGAGAGAGGGTGTCCAGTGAGATAGTGAGGCACTGGAGGGGAGAGAGAGAGGGTGTGCGTGAGATAGTGAGGCACTGGAGGAGAGAGAGAGTGTGTGTGTGTGCGAGTATTTCATTCAAATTCAGGAAAGCTTCATGATATGGTTTACCTGTATAAAAAAAGTCATTTTTTTTACTGATCTTAAGCCCCTCCAAGCATTATATTCAAATAACATAAATAAAAAGTTTTAGTATTTTTGAAATTTTTCAGGGTGTGTGAGATAGTGAGGCACTGAAGGAGAGAGAGAGACAGAGAGTTCGTGTTCGTGACAGTGAGGCATGGGGGGGGAGTGTGTGTGTGCGCGAGACAGTGAGGCACGGGGGGGGGTGTGTGTGTGGGAGATAGTGAGGCACAGTGGGACAGGAGGCACCTGGGTGAGGGCGAGATAGTGAGGCACTGGGGGGGAGGGAGACAGCGAGATAGTGAGGCACCAGGGGGGGGTGTGTGTGAGACAGTGAGGCACGGGGGGGACAGGGGACGGGGGAGGGTGAGGGACGGGGGGGGGTGTGTGTGTGTGTGCGAGATAGTGAGGCACAGGGGGAGAGAGAGAGTGTGTGTGTGTGTGCGAGATAGTGAGGCACAGAGAGGGGTGGAGAGAGAGAGGGGGTGTGGTGTGAGATAGTGAGGCATGGGGGGGAGAGGGGTGATGGTGGAGAGAGTGAGGCACTGGGGGGTGAAGAGAGAGTGAGAGAGAAACTGGAGGAGAGACAGTGTGAGAGAGAGTTTTCTGGAGGGCAAGAATTCCATTCAAATTCAGGAAAGCTTCATGATATGGTTTACCTGTATAAAAAAGTCATTTTTTTTACTGATCTTAAGCCCCTCCAAGCATTATATTCAAGTAACATAAATAAAAAGTTTTAGTATTTTGAAATTTTTCAAAAGGTTATTAAAAAATAAATTACTATTGAATAAATCATTCAAATTATTATTATTCAATATATTTTTTCCATATCAGTTGAAAAAAAAAAAAAAGTTATTTTTCTGAATGGCAAAACAAAATTTAGTGACAGTTCAAAACAAAATTCAATTTTCTAAAAATCACCATTCATAGCTAAGATACTTTTGTAACTCATACAAATGGTACTAAAAGTTCTTAGTCCAACCCATTTCCAAAAATCTGACTAAATGATTAATTATCAGATGGTTTCTTGGAAAGGGTTTCCTTACTAAGTCAAGAACTTTTCAGTACCCCTTTTACATCCTTTGTTCTATTTATTAAGCTATTTATTTTGACTGTTATCTTCTTCAACCTGTCGAAAAATAACAGCTTTTGAAATTTTTGCTCCAACATAAATCTCAGTGAATTTGAAAATATCTTTTTCAGTCATGAAGCAGACCATCACACAGTTGTCTCCCTTTATTTGTGGTTTCACTTTTCTACGATTTCCATTATCAGCAGTCAAACTCAGAAATAAATAGTTCATAAGTTTTAACTAATAATGATCCCATAGCAGAAGATGCTTGAAATATGTATATGTCAACAAATGTACTATAAAAGTGAAAGATATTAACTTAATAATGAAATAAAAATATTGTAAGCCGAGATTGCTATGATCTGTGGCAAGAACCAATCTTCTTTGGCCATATTTGAAGGTACTTCTGCTAATCTCTCACCAGACCTAATTTATAAATCAAACTTTACCATAAAGAAAGATAGATATTATAAATTAGGTTCAGTATTAACAGTGTTTTGAGCCATCTGCCGAGGGTCTTGGAATACATATTGTATAGATATAGGGGATAGGGGGTTGCAATTATATATCTGTCCATTAAAGGAAAATGAAAATGGGAAAATAATGTAAACAAAAGAGTAAATAAAAATGAAACGATAGCAGTTTAATGTTGGTATTCAATAAATAAGGTTTCTTAACTTGAACAAAAAAAAAAAAAAAAGGAGAGAGAAATTTAAAATAAAAATTTGCTTACAGCAACTGGATTGTTTCCATTTGACAGGATATCAAGAAGATCTGCTGATGATACAAAATAAAATCGAGGAAATGCCAAACGTTTAGTCTCGAGGTACTCTGCCAAAGCCTTTTCACATTTTGTTAGTTCTTCCTGAATTGTTTCCAACCTTTCATACAAATTTGGCTGACCGGTTGCTTCAACAACATTTTTTGTAACTTCAACTTCAGAGACAATTTTCTACAAAAAAAAAAAAAAAAGAATAAAAATTCAACTTAGTTCAACAACTAAAAAGTATTTTGCATATTGTTACTAGTTAAATTTCTAAAATGATTATCATTAAACAATCAGATCAGAGACATTATTATTCAAATAAGATGAATGTGTTTATATATATATATATATATATATATATATATATTATTACACATTTTTTCCATATCAGTTGAAAAAAAAAAAAAGGTAATAAATCTGTTGGTATATAATTTAAGTGGATCAAAGTAATATAAAATTTTAAAACTGCATTCACAAAAAGAGATCAATGTATTTATTATTACAGAGCAAACATTAATCACAAAACCTAAAATCATCTCATATGGGGAATAAGCTTATTTCAACAGATGTAAATATAATGTCATATATATATATATATGTATGTGTGTGTGTATATATATATATATATATATTAGAAAGTGTATGTGTGTTTGTGCATGTGTGTTTGTCCAAGCAGACCATCATACAGTTCCTCCTTTACCTCTTGTTCAATTTCAATGATTCTTAGCTCATTCAAAAGCCCTAGAAAAGTTAGGCGCTAATAATGAAACGATTTTCATTGAGCTTCAAATTCAGAGTCAACAAATGTTATGTGGTGAAAAATTATATATTAATAAAAATACTAGATTTCATGGTTCAAGAACCAATCTTCTTTGGCCATATTTATTTTCTGCTAATTTTGTATTTATAAATCAAACTTTTACCATTAAAAGATAGATATTTGTTAGGTTCAGCATTTAAGCTAGTGTTTTGAGCCATTGGCCGAGGGCCATCATCTCAATAATATAGGGATAGGGGGGCAAGTATATCTGTCCATTAAAGGAAAATGAAAATGAAAATAAAATAACAAAAAACTTAAAATAAAAATGCCATATTTAAGTATTAAATTAATGTTTTTAAACTGAACTTTTAAAAGTTCCATGATTTAAAAAAAAATTTGTTGGCACTTAATTTAAAGATATGATTTGATGATACAAAAATAAAATCGAGTAAATGCCAAACGTTTATTTTCCATACAATTAGTTTTTATTTCATGAATGATACAAATGGGACATTTTATAAGATTTTTTAATATAGTTTTCTAAAAAAAAAAAATAGAAATTCAAATTAGTTCAACAACTAAAAACATTCAACATTTGAAGTTAAATTTTAAAAGATTATCATTAAACAATCTAATTAAAACATTATTATTGGAATCTATATATATATATAATATATATATTATAGCTATATTCTCACACAAATTCTGAGATAAATCTGTTGGTATATCTAGTGGATTTATAGTAATTAAAATTTAAAACTGCTCCCAAAAAAGTTACATTATGACACAAACATTAATTTAAAATCATCTCATTGGGAATAAGTTTATTTCAACAGGGCTAAATAAAATTCCTCATATATATATATATATATATATATATATATATATATATATATATCAGTTGTGCCTGTTCTTTGATGTATATATATATATATATATATATATATAAAGACAAAATACTTTACAAGGTCAGTTTAATGTTGCCCCCTCCGAACACTTGGACGAGGGGTAGGAACAAAAAAGGTCTATTTTTAAGTGGGGACCCACTGGTGTCTAGTACACCTGGTACAGGAACAAAAGCTGTTCCCCAGAGGTTGGGCATCTCTCAGTATAAACTGTTGGACTTCTTTGTGCTGGCCTCAAGTACAAAGACAAAACTTTGATCCCCCTCCCTCTCTGGTGCACAAATGGGGAGGGCACGGCTTCGGGCAGCTGTTCCCCAGGGCTGGGCACCTCTTCAGTATTATTTTCCTCAGTTACCCCTCTGTCCTTTGACAGAATAGCCCCTGAGCTCACTCTGTCCAAGAACAGAGACGCAACTGAGAGATGATAAATAGACATGAAATTATATATATATATATATATATATATATATATATAAAAATGAGAGGGCAGGGATGCTAATGAAAAAAAGCTATTGAAGCAGGGCTCACCTTAAAGTCATGATCAATTCTTTGAAATCTTTGGGAATCCTCTGGCAACTGTTCCTTAATGTCATCTGATTCAGTAAAGATACTTTCCAAGTGAGACCATGTTCGCTGTACTTTCATCCAAATGGAAATGACTTGATCAGCAACAGTCAACTTCTTTTGCCAGTCACTTACTTCCTTCAGAAAGTAGTCAATAAATTTAGAAGCAAGCATATTTTGGAGTTGAACCTAAAACGAGAAAAGACATCTTGTCAAAAATTTGCCATTTCAATTTTGCATTAATTTTTACACTTTATATTTTGATTCAATGAATTAATTAGTTTTCACATGATGCTCTTGAGAAAAGCATGAATCCACTTCTCCCTATCTCACTCATCAACAATGGATAAATAGAACAGTTGGAGACTTGGACATTCAATAACAGGATAGGTCATGGATTGTTTTTTGCTGTTATGCTGTAACTCAATACAACCTATCAGATGTTATTTAGAGAGGACAGATCAGTATCTGCAAGTAACCCTCACCATTGCCCTGAGGAATTGATTGTCTTTTATGGCTTATCTACCATTATAAAAACCAAAAGATTATTGGATTGTAAGAATAAATTTTTTTTTTTTTTTTGCAAGTGAATATTACTACTAATAATTTCTTTGAGAATAACAATGATTTTTCCAGATACAAGACCTGTTATTTAATCTATAACTGGGAGGAGGTGGTGGATTCATACCTTTGCCAAGGTTATTTTTGCCTAAGTGAATATAACAAACCTGACTCTCTGAATTCTCATTCTGAGCTACTATCCATTATGTAACCTGCACATCCTCCAAGATAGGAATTGTTCTGTTTGGCATCATTAGGATTGAATATGTTGTATAAAACGGCCACATCCTGTGAATCAGTTTCTCTTTCTCAACAGATATTATTCTGTATTCAATATTATTTTAGGAAATATAAATTCAATAGTTTTTATAACCAAATTTATAAAGAGAAAAATTGGCAATGTTTAATGTTTGTAACCACAAAAAAAAATGGTGTGTGTCAAAAAGACTTATTCCTTTGCACTGCTATCATATTAGTGGTGGGATTAAAAAAATTTAAGAACTGGTTCTCTCAATAGGTCTTATTCTTCCATAGTCTATACTTTAATATATAGATATAATTTAGGAATAAGGAAAATTTTTCTTGCACTTGGCCAAAAATACCAAAATTAATCTGCATTACATTGCATGTTATCATTTTGAAAGGAAAAATAATTAAAGGAAATGCTTTAAAATTTTTTATTCATGAACTTTCATTTTAAAAATTTCCACTTGATTGTCGTCAATAATCTTCAGCTTTTTTTTTTTGTTTCACTCTATTGTCATCATCACTGTGATTTTTTTTCTAAGCCATGTTTTAACGAAAAGAATGGCATCCCATAAATTTAAAGGGATACCAATATAATAACATTAAATTTTCTGTATCTTCTGCTGTAAGGAGGCATTTTTTTTATCTGAGTATAAAATATTCATTCTTGAAAGACGTCTTTCTGCCTCGGAGGAACTGATAGCAATCATATTGATAATAGTTTTCACTTTTTTAGTACACTTTGAAGAATTGCAGGATTATGAAAGTTTTTCAGGACATTTTCCAAATAATTACGAAAATCATGAATGGTAATGTTGTCATGAAGAATTTTACTGAAGCCATTCAGCTTTTCTTCTGCAGCTTTCCAGGGAATAACTTTGTTTTTTGGAATATTCCAAGTATTTGGCTCTAAGCAAGTTCAACAGTTCATGAAATTTGTATTAACCTTTATTCAAACTTCTGAATTTACATCCCCAACCGATTATGTGACTACAATTTGTACACAATCTAAAATTAACAGTTTGTTCGGGTGGCAGCTAGTAACGGGTTCACTGAGCTCATAAAATTGCAAGAACAGGTTCATGCGAACCTGTGCAAAGCTGCTTAATCCCACCATTGTATCATAATTTTTTTTGCTCCCTCAGCAATATTTATTTACAAGATTAGAAAAATGTGTGAACCAAATACAGTGCAATATTTATCATTTTATAAAGATTCATTATTTATCATTTCATAAAGAAGCAAATATGAAAAGAAATTTTTTTATTCAAAAATTTATAAAAATTTATAAAAATTATCAAAATATTTAAACCAACTACAATGCCATATTTACAGTAAAAATTATGGGCATTCTTAATAACACATAGAAAACTTAATTTTGGCTTCCAAATAGAAACTGATTTTTGTTTTTTTGTTTTTTTCCATGGATAACAACCATTTAGTTGCAGGCAATACCTATAAAATGTCTTTTTGCAAAAAGATATGGATATCAGAAAATAGACAATTCTAAATGAGAGATTCTTACTATAAGTTCAAGACTAATCGATAGAAATATTTTACAAGCTCAAATGACTTGCTAAAGAAATATATGACAATTATTTATGAAACTAATTAGAACTCACTAAGAACCTGGTTCCGAAATTATAGTCACTATAAATTGTTTCATGTTATCTACATTGTTCAAATACTTATCATATGATAACCAAAGTTAAGCAATGTCGAGTCTGGTTAGTACCTAGATGGGTGAATGCTTAGGAATACAAGATGCTATAGGCTTGAATGTGCATAGGGTGTAATGGATAATGGCTCTGATTTGGAAATCAGAGAGCTGAGTTTTAATTCCAGTCAGGTTCCTTATATTCACTTACGTGCGAATATCCTTGGGAAAGGTATGAATTCACATCTTCTCCCCCAGATATGGGTTAATTAGTAGGACTTGTATTAGTAAATCATTATTATTGGCAAGATAAAATTCTTACAATCTAAATATACTTTCTGGTTTTAAATAACCTGAAAAAGGTTGACAAGCTGTAAAAAACAAAATCAATGAATGAATTCTGATGTTTGATAGAAATAGAAAATACTGCTTTTATGTAACAGTTGTGTTCTAAATCTCAATTCTGTAGAAATTGCACTCAAAAGAACATAGTAAGGGAATTAGTAATGAAGAATTAATGCATGCATTATTGAAAGGAAAAAAGCTCTTATACATGTAATAATGTAAATGCATTGCAAATGTTATTAATATAGAAATGCATTGCAAATGTTATTACGATAGAAATGCATTGCAAATGTTATTAATATAGAAATGCATTGCAAATGTTATTACGATAGAAATGCATTGCAAATGTTATTACGATAGAAATGCATTGTAAATGTTATTAATATAGAAATGCATTGCAAATGTTATTACGATAGAAATGCATTGTAAATGTTATTAATATAGAAATGCATTGCAAATGTTATTATGATAGAAATGCATTGCAAATGTTATTACGATAGAAATGCATTGTAAATGTTATTAATATAGAAATGCATTGCAAATGTTATTACGATAGAAATGCATTGTAAATGTTATTAATATAGAAATGCATTGCAAATGTTATTACGATAGAAATGCATTGTAAATGTTATTAATATAGAAATGCATTGCAAATGTTATTATGATAGAAATGCATTGCAAATGTTATTATGATAGAAATGCATTGCAAATGTTATTACGATAGAAATGCATTGTAAATGTTATTACGATAGAAATTCATTGTAAATGAATGAAAAGCAATTGTTAGTGGTGAAGGCAAATCATACTGATAAAATATGGCTATATGAAGATATCACTATTTTACCCATGCCATCAAAAAATTATGGCAATATTCAAGTTTTTGATATTTACAAGTACAATGCAATTGCAACATTACTATTTGCGAGTTAACAGATCGCAAAATCTATCAAAGATGTGAAATTTAAATTTTTAAAATTTTTATTATTGCATTATTCCAAAATTTTAACACATCAGCAGATAGCTATTAATGTCAACTGAGCACAAACAGTTATTAATTAAAAAAAAATAGTAATTAATGTAAAATATTATCCATAACTACATGTACAAGAATGTCATTTTTGATAAAAGTTAAAAAACTAACCATAAATACGTAGAAAATGCGTATTTTTTCCACAATATAGCTATTTGTGTGATGTTATAATGCTTATTACTCAAATAATAATAATACTGAATATTTTTTTTAAACATTAAAGTATATTTAATCACATCTCCGTAATAGCTGTTGCAATCTGTAAAAATAATTTAAGACATAAATAAGTCATAATAAATCCTATTTTGTTTGTAAAATTTAAAATAATAAAAAAAATTATCTTTCTAAACATCATCAGAGTCCAGTACATGAAAATGAGCAATTTGACACTGAAAAGTGTTACCTGACACCATCAATTGATAAGACACCAGTAGTGTTGAAACAAAATTGTAGTTTTTGTTGTTATGTTATAACATGCATATGTTATAATTTTGAATATATATAATTTTTTTTCAATTTTGGTTTTATCTGTACATAATACTCTTTTCCAATATGATTTTTCTTTATCCTTATGTTCACGAATTAATTTTAACCTGGCATCTCTGTGTCTTTTCAATAGCCATGGAGTTTTCCGAGGGGAGCGTGACTTTAGATTGTTCCTATGAATTTCATTGCTTATTCTCCATTTAGTGCCACAGATTCCTGATGAAAGCAAATCATCCTGCAACTCTTGACAAGTAATCACTGAATTTTGCATTAATTTCCTTGAAGATCTTAAAGAAATCTTTTGTGGAGCACCTGTTCTTTGGTTTTCAACATTTTGAGTTTTTATACCTTGCAATGAATGAACTAATGGTAGTAAATGGAATATTCAGATTGTCTGAGATTTTTTCCGTAACTTTTACATTCTTTCCAGAGCTTAAAAATCAGTTCTTTTTGCAAATTTGTTAATTGTCATCTCTTGCCATGATGATAATATTCTTGCATGAATATCAATTTCAGAATGTTTGGTTTGTATTTTTAGGTGAAAAATAACTACAGATAACATTATTTGAATAATCTAGAATATTAAAGCAATTTAAAAGTTTTAAAATCTGAAATTTGCATTGTACAAATACATTATTCCCCCCATTAAAATGGATAAATAGGATTTATTTATATTAGATCAAATTTTTTTCTACTTTCTATGCATATTTAATTATATGAAAAGTATGTTTATTCATTAATTGGAAATACAATAAATTAAAAATTTGTATGTTTACAAATATTTGTTTCCTCCTCTACACACTAAAAGTTTCATAAAAGACAACTGACAAGGCAGTGCATTCAAGTTTTTTCTTTAATTTTTCTTGTGTTTGCATAAGAGTTTTCTTTACTGGACATAGTGTAAAAATGGGCTGAATGTTCTGCATATCCAAGTTCTTTTCTACACATTCATTTAAAAAATAAAAATGGGAAAAAAAAAAAAACAGATAATGGCTAATAGAATAGCTGAGAGTGCTCAGATATACTGAATGTCTGGACAATTTTTACAGACTTTATGTCCAGAAAAAAAAAACTTTTATATGAATGCAAGAAAGACTGAAGAAAAAGTTTAAGTGCTGTGCCTTATCAGTCATCTTTAATAAAAGTTGTATAAAAGAGGGATTGCTGCCCAAATACACAATTTCTTGATAAAATACTAAAAATATCAGTCAAAAAAAAAAGTAAAAACAATTTCTGTATCAAATTCTAATTTTGTCAACAAATGATCCAACCTGACTTGATTCCAAAATTACAATAAATTTTTCACCAGCTTATCTGCTGTGCCTGAACAAAGGTAGCCTTGAGCACATACCCCAGTTGCAGTCTGAAACCCCTGGATGAGGAGCACTATTGCTGGCACTATAAATAAGTCATGAAAGCTACGGAGGAGACCATCCTTTTTTTATATAATGATGTTCACTTTCAACAAGGTCCAAGAGCCATTCAAGGTAGAGGGTTACAGAGTAAGAGGAACAGTTTATGTGGATGGGTGGGGAAGTTAACAGTTTATCTTAGACCTGAACAGGTTAAGATTGTAGTGATCAGGGAAGCATATTCTTGGGAGTTGCTTCCACAAAGCAGTGGTTCTTGGAAAGCTGCTGCTTAAATGGAACTTACATCTACACAATAGAATACAAAGTGAATGAAGGTGGTTTGCTACAATGTGCATCGCCATGAAGTTTAAAACTGGTGAAACTAAGGAATGTAGTTCATCTGAACTGCAGTTCTTGTGCATATATAACAGCATACTTCATTTTCAGCCTGATCTGGGAAGAGCCAGTTACAGTGAACCAACCATTTTTCCAGCATCTTTAACAATGGATTGTATGTACGAGTTCCACGAGGTCTGGGTTAAGTTTAAGCCCCAGTAGACACTCAAGACAGAGGGCCTTCATGAGGGAGTTCATCACGATTGCTGAAAGTACTGGATCTGATCAGCAATAATAGAATATCACTAGTTTATTTTTCAGAGCCCTGAATGTGACCAGCCAGTTTTTTCCCCACTGAGCTGTTAGAGCTTGGTCAGTGGAGAGATCAGCTGGAGAGGAATCAGCCACTGAAAGCATTTTCAACCAAAAAAAAGAAAACCATTGTTTTTTCTAAGAGTTGTGGGGGGGGGAGCTAACATCAGGTCCCAGGACTACTTCATTGAGCCTGCAATTAAGAGCACAAGCTCGGGAGCAGAAGCTTGACTTCGGGAAGCAACTGAAGTTCTCAGAAACTGTTATAACACTGCTAAGAACAGACATAGTGCTAATCTTAAAACCCTGCAAGCAGATTAATTAGAGCTCATACTTCACTGAGAGGATCACATTAAGAAAGACAATGGGGAGGTATGATGAGATTGAGAACAAATGCCAAAACAACAGGTGGTGATAAAGATGCAGACCCATTGATGTGAGAGTCAAAGGCCAATTCTTCTGCAGAACCTAAAAACATACCTGGCATCATAGGAATCAGTCAGTAAAGGGTCTACAAGTTGAACACCAAAGCAGCAGAGTTGCTTCAAGGTGGCTGAAGAGGATAGTTTTGGGTGAGGTAGTTACCTGGACAAGAGTCAGGTTTTGATCAACCCTATCCAACCAAATTGCCTGAGTAAAGGTGGCTGATTGCTGAAAGACCCGAAATACCCAATGACCCCAGGAAATTTCACTGATGATGATGTATTACATGGGGGTACATACAAGAAGCTGTATTAAGTTCTACTTTCATCAACAAATATTAATAACTCAACCTGATTTTCTTCCAAAGTTTCAATCAATTTTTCACTGGTATGCAGCATTGTAATTTTGGTGCGAGGATGCTTTTCATGGTCAAATTCCATTGTTGCCCAGGTTTTGTAAATATTAGTTAGCACTTTTTCCATGCTGGCTTCTTTTACAGCTTTATCCACAATATTCTTCACTTCCTCTTCAAATTTATGCAAATTAAGTGACAACAGATCAGCCAAAGTCGTCGAATCATCCATTACAAACCAAACCTGAAAAGAGATGACAATACTTATCATAAATACTTATAAATACTTATCATAATTGCTTATCATAAATCTTTTACTTCATCCTATGTGCAGTTGTACAAATTCAATCTCAGAGATACTGGCTCATTCAGATCAAGTCTTTTATATACTCAGTTTTCTATAAATAGTTTAATTCCCTATTTAGCCACTTTAATATCTTTAACACTGTGCCATGTGTCCTCAAGTGGATAAAGTCATTATTTAGATTCAGTGACAGGATCCAAAGAGTGTGAGTTCAATACCTGGTTAAGGCGGTTGAGAACTTGGAGAGGGTAATTAACAGGAGATAACTGATAACTGACATCCATTAGACATAGCACGTGGAACTAGAACAGTCTACCCCAGTAAGCAAAATAAAGGGTTTAGTTCAACATTCCAATCATCTGAAGAAGGCCGGAGTGTACAACGGCTGAAACGTTGTAATAAATATGGCGACAAAGATGAGGACAATAATCTGAATAATGTAAATAGTGTACATAATACCTCATCTCAGAAATATAGACAGATACTGAAGGGCCTAAACGTTGTAATATATATGGCGACAAAGATGAGGACAATAGTCTGAATAATGTAAATAGTGTACATAATACTTCATCTCAGAAATATAGACAGATACAAATATTTCTTTCTTTTCTTCTTGCTTTTATAAACTATCTTGTCTGATAATTCTTTCAGTTTTCTTTTTGAATCTTCTATTAACAATCTGTCCATAGTGTATGTTGTTAAAAGAACATGTCTGCCAATAATAAATCCTGATAATTAAAATGGATTTAATGCAAGAAACCAAACTGAAGAATATTTCAACTGGATCCTGTACAGCCTGCAACATCACAGAATATAATGGCGGGGTCGTGGGAGTTCAGTTTAGAGTTAATTCAAAAGGATTATTTGTCTTGACTTGCTGGAACTGGGAAAAAATGTATAATACACAATTTAGCTGAAAGCCAGCATTAGGTTACAGAAAGCCAATGAAAATACTTTGATGACTGAATAATGATGCTATGAATTTATAAGAATAAAAGATTTGGTCAAAATATACTGGAAACTTCTATATCTACCTTATATGATGGAATACACAATTTAGCTGAAAAGTAGTGTGAGGCGAGAGAAATCCCAAGAAAATGATACAATAAGATTGTGATACTATGAATTTATATGAATAAAAGATTTGGTTATAATATACTAGAAAACATTATAAATAAATTTAACTTGCAAATAAACTAAGAGTAAAATATACATACTAAATGCTTCTACATATTTATTTATATAATGTTTTTCACAAGAACATTGTCTAATGGCTGAGATGGTGACATATTAGACATCAACAGCAGAGGTTGTTGTGCCCATTAAAAATAAATCAAAATTAATTATATTGCCATTTTGTCATGTCAATTAAAAATGAATAAATAAAAATTAATTATACTGTCACTTTGTCACCCTCTCTATACCAATGAGAATCAAGCCCACTCTTCTCTATCACACACAAATATACAACACCCTCACTATCTGACAAGCAGCCAACACAAGGGTTGACCAAAATTTCAGATCTTTACTTTTCAGGCCACAATAACAACATTTGTCTAGATTTAATGTATATAAAATATAATTGCGGCACAAGGCTGAAAATGTGGGAATAGGCTGAGGCTAGTTATCACTTACTATCTTATACATAACTAATCAGATTCACGACCCATTCACTCATTACAATTTGCACACCCCTCCCGAAAGAACTTATCCATCATCACTCAATCCTCTATATACCAGAATACCGCATACTCTCAATAGGGGGACTTAGAAAAACACATCCCCATGACATAAAAATTAACGGTTATAAAATTCTATATATAAAAATCTGTCGATGATACATAATTAGGAGGGGGAGGGAACGAACCCAAAAACAAACTAAAATATCAAAACAAATACACAAAATAAAAGCATAACTGATGTTAGTTGGCCCTGTCAAACCCTCAAAAGAATTTTTAACCCTCATAGACAAAATTTGAAGTAAAAAAAAAAAAAAAACAAACTCCAGACTTCCTTGTTTTTTTTTCCAACTAAATTATCCAGACACTCACTACACATATTATATAAAAAAAAAACATACAAGAAATATTATACCATTTACTTAATATTACTGTCTCTCGTGTCTCTAACCCCAGATAATAAATAATATTTCTTTTGTTGTTTCTATGTCTTGCTGTTTTTCATTTTCAACAAGTATTTTTGTATGTATAAATTTTAGTGTGTTTATAATTATTTACTTTTATATTTATTAGTTATAACTCTACTACAAGGTTGATGGTCAACATCTCCACTAAAATGTGCATTTTCAACAGAATTCACATTATATTACATAAGCCTGTTACTGCTTTCAGCTTGATTTGAAACCAAAGTCTTCTTTCTCATATATATATATATATATATATACACACACACCTGTGACCAATACATCTACATTCTGTAAAAGGAAATTACTTCACATGAAACACTGTTACATTAATCAAACCTCTAAGCAAACATGATTTATGCAACAAATAAACTAACATTTGTGGCTTGCATCAGTTGGTGCCAGTGACGATCACGGATAGCAGTGTTTTGCAAATCAGAGACAGCATGAAGAGAGGTGATCATATTTTTGACCGTCATCTCTGCATTGATAAAAGCATCCCATGTTCGCATGTCTTTATCCAGTTGACGAATATCCTTGGCAAATCTTTTGCAGTCCATGTCCATTTGTTCAACATTGATGTCTGACCAAAAAGTTGTTTTCCAATCATCAAATGAGCTACAGATGATATTAATATAATCCCACAGTTGCTTCAATAGCCTTAACTCTTTATTACACTGTTTCAGTTGCTTAAAATCCACAACACCCACTCCAAATAACAGAGCAGAATCAACAAGTGTCTTCATTTCTGACTCCAGCTGGATAATCTGTTGGTGTTTCTGTAAATCATAAATAAAAATTTATCATCAGTTTTTTCAAGACAAATGGAAGTTAACACCAAAAATATCAAAAATAGGTGGCCATAAATACTTTATACAGAGAAAGCTGTTTATTATAATCACGTATGTTCTCCAGTGGATTTTGCTATCAAATTCCCAAACACTTAATGTAAAACAATTATAAAATGAACTGCTTATTATAATCAAAGTCGGAGATATTTTTATCATGTAAAGTTGCTTATAACAATAAACTTTAATATATCCAGTTATCAGTGGGTTATTGTCACTGTATCAAAGTAAGAGATTTCCCCTCTATTTAGTAATAAAATACAATAATTTGTGGCCAAATCGGTAAAGGCACATCAAACTAAATGACGGTTCTGTATAGGATACATGTTCAAATCCTGTCGGAGGACGAATATTTTCTGTGAAAATTTCTCGGACATTCAGGCCGGTAAATGTTGTTTAATACTGTTTATTTAGCATTTACTTAAATATTTGTATCTAAAAAAGAATACCCGCTCGGCCCGGTGGCTAGGATTTATTATAAACAGAGCATTTCGAACTCTGCTTTAAATATTTGTCGGGAGGTTGATTTGAACTAAAAAGAATGTATCGGACAAACATTAAAAAAAATTGTCTTGAAATAAATATATAAAATATAAACATAAAATGTCTTAATATATATATATATAATAATAATAATAATAATAGACTTTCCCGTCATTTTCAACATATGAGGGTCAAGCAACTCGGTTCCTAGCAATAGCCAGCCAGATACCTACACATATAATTTGATTATAGTGGTAAAGGTCTTGCACAGAACTAACCACGCTTTTTGAAGCGCCGAATACAGAAACCTGATGCACCGTGTGCCACCAGGTCCCCAAATGACCCTCCACAGGTTTTGAATTCAGAATTGTCCTTCTCCTTGACCAGTTGCCATCCAAGGCTATAGAACCGAGCATGACCTGCTATTTACCTATTTCTGGGGGGAGAAGAAGATCTATACATTTCCCAAGGGTATTATCATGTAAGTGAGTGTAATAGATTTGACTGGAATTTAAACACTGCTCTCCGATTCCCTATCCATTATTCCACCGTACCTCATATATATATATATATATATATATATATATACATAGAGAGAGATGTTACCAAAGGGGGAGTGTAGCCTTCTTCAAAATAAGTTGAGTTAAGTAAATATTAAAGCCTTGACATATTGTGACTTTCATATGGATGTCATGCATGGTGCCACACCTGTTCAGAAATATCTAAACTATCAGCTGTATATAACTCCTTCCTAAGATCAATGGTGAAAAAAGGTCTTGCACAAATAAAGCAGGGGGGCCTTGACAAAGATCATTCTGCTTTGATCCTTGTGGACTGTTGCAACAGAATCACAAACAAAGAACTGTACCAAATAACAGAAACTAGATCACTTGAGGACCTTCAACAGCAACAACAACTAAAATGCATAGCACATATAACTCAAAAAAAAAAAATAAATAAAATAATGACATAATGAAGTTGTTAGCATTCCATACCACATCAAATAAAAGGTTTGGAAGGAAACCCCCATTAGTATTAGAAAGAGTGAGAACAACTACTAAACTTGAGAAACCTGTTTTCCTAAAAAAGTATCTTAAGAGAAAAACTTTATAAATATAAACAGAAAACAGTACTGCCTGCTCAGTCAATGAATGCAAAATGTTTCCTTATAAGGAAACAGCTAATATGACCATTATGACTATTACCATAATGGATGGAAACCTTGTTATAGAGGTAATAATCAATAAACCAATGCAGAAGACCCATTACTACAGACTAAAAGTCATAGGATGAGTGGTTATTATTGTGTAGGACTTCTTCTAGTCCATTGAATTACAACAACTCAATGTAGCATTGATTTGACAAGAGCTTGCAAGACCTCCAGGGAGATGCTGTGTCATTCTGTTTTGATAGAAGTCCACAACTGCCTGATATTTGTAGGTGCAGGATCTTGGGTACAAGTAAACTTCACCACATCCCATGTGAAGCAAAAATAGCAGCCACCTCATTCGTCAAAAGTCTACAAAATGCTCCACAACTCTAGGCAACTTGGACCTGGTAATACACAGCAATATCCTGCATGAAAAAAAAATCCCTCTTTCTTGGTGTACATGGAGTCCATGAATAGATGCAAATGGTCATGAAACAGTGCAACATGGCAGTCACTGGTCAATAACATGTTGATGAGGAGTAGAAAACTTAATAACTACCATGTGAACACATCCCACAGCATTATGGAACCTGAATAGTATCTTGCTGACAATTAGGATTCATGGTCTTGTGGTGTTTGCACCACACATGAACATTAACTGTGACTCATTGGACCATGACACATGTTGCCAGTCCTTCTGGATCAATGCAGTGTCAAGTGTCATGCTGCTAGTAGAAGCACCTTGGTGAGTTTTTGTTCTAATATCCTATTCTAAAAGAATGCAGAACTGAGTTGCTGGACATGATTCTAATACTACCAGCAATAAATATGGATGTGATTTCAGCCAGTGTCGCTTGTTTGCTATCACAGACAATTCTAACCAGATGCCTCTGGTCACAATCATTAAGGATCCATGGTTGTCCACTACACTGTCAATAGTGTTACTAACTGTTTCCATCAGGTATTATCACTACAAAAGTGACATCTTAAATTGAAATATATCAAACGACCTCATAATTTCAGAAATGTCATTGTCTCATCCATCTGACATGCACTATCATGCCTTGTACAAACTCTGATAATTCACACTAACAAATCAGATGTTAGAGCACAATTGATATAGGTCTGGGCATTTCTATGACATCAATGTACAGTGGTGCCACCTACCATTACCTTTATATACTCCTATCCTAGACGTTGATAAAAGCTATAAATTGCCTTAATGAGAAAAGGATGCATCAAGCAAACTGGAAAATTATTTCATATCTTTTATGGTTAACAAAGTCGAGATTGCAATAAACATGAAAATAATTTTTAAAAATGAAGAAATGAATATAAAATAAATAAGGTAAATATCAAAATACATGTAAAAATTCAGTTTGACTGTTGAAATGACGGCTCCTTGAGTTATTTGAATTTGGTTCCAGCAAATAAATGAATGCCAGAATTAACCCAAAAAGGTTACACAAAATACAATACTTGAAAACGAATTTAGCAACATTGAAAAGCACGCAGGTGGAAAAAACCAAAAATTAACTTTGGTAAATTTGCCAATTATATAAAACAATTCATAAATTTGAAAAAAAATTTTTAAAAAATTGGATAGACATAACTTGTTATTATTCAACTAAACATGTCTGAAATGAAAATAACATGTATACATGCTTTTTACCTATAAAAATATAGGACTGTATCACACATAAAAATAAAATATATTTAAACTGAAAATAGGGACTGTATTACATACCAAAAATGTATTCCCATGCATTATTTATAAAAAAAAGTGGATAGTATTACATATGAGAATGAAATATATTTATATTTTTGCTTAAAAAAAATAGAGAATTGCATTAAATATTGGAATAAAATATGTTCACACATTTTACCTTTTTTTATATATCATTTGTTTGTTATATATATATATATATATTTGTTATATATATATATATATATATATTGGTTCTTGTTCATTTCTTTATGTAAACTCACATCCCAAGTCCATCATGTTTATTGTGGGTATTTCAGGAGACATCATGTTACTCCCAATTTCAAACAGCGATGTTACTAACACCTGCAACAAGGTGGGAAGTGTGTACACTGGGCCCACAACAATGCGCATACACACACAAATTAACACCACAAGACAATTAGATGTGATGTGATGTCTACCTTACCAATAAAATCAAACACAGGCCTAAAAGTACCAGAACTTTCTCTTCCATAATTCATTTAATAAAAGAAATTCTTATGAAGCTTAAATAAAATTGCAAGATGTTAAATTTATAAATGTTACCTATTTGTTCCTTATCCTATCACTATCAGCATGGCCCGGCTTGATTCAAAAATTGTACGACTCATACAGCAATCGCTATCACTTGACTTAAAATATTTTTGCCCTTCCTTGCCTTTAAAGGAGTGCCCTTTGTCATGTTGATGTTGCTACATGCCTTACTTCTTGCCTATCTCACACTGTGAATTTTTTCTAAGCTCTATACTAAACATTAAATCTGTTACAAAAAAAGAATTAAACAAAATGAACACAAAATGATCAGCTTTAAAAAAGGACTCGTAACTGGAAAAACCGAATGAAAAAAGAATGTTAACAACAAATACTTTTTCACACCCAACCCAGTTCTGCGGAATCAGAATCAATGTTGAGTTTAAGCAAGCGAATGAGCCAATTGGAGTAAAGTGCCATGCAGATTTAAATTTTTCCCACTTGTGACGAATGCAGCTATTGATTATTTTTTGCATGCTAGCATGCTAGTTAACATTCGTGTCAGTCAGCTGTTGGCTCTCATGCTCGCCAATAGACTCTTCCTGCCTATTCGTGGCAACCAGCTATAGGCTCTCAATCTGGCCAGTACAAAATGGCTGCAAACTACATGAAAACTGTCGTAGAAGCATGAAAAAATCGATTATTTCCACTATCGATGGGAATTGGAAAATGCAAAGTCAGTCTTGGTCTTCTCACTAACTTGGAGCATGTGCATGTAAATTTTGGTGCAAATCCATCAAAAATTGCGGCCATGCATTCGTTACACACACACACACACACACACACACACACACACACACACACACACACACACATATCCTGCCTTTTATAGATAGAGATAAATAAATAAATAAATATGACAGACATATTTTAATTGCTTCTTCATTAGAAATTGGGCACAACATTCCCAAAATCTCGTGATCATAGCAAATAAGACAATTGATTTTACCTTATCCAAAAGTTCATAAGGATTCTCGCAGTCATAAAAATAGGTTCGCATTTTGAGGAAGGCTTTTCTGAATGTAATCAATGTTGCATCAAAAGAGGACAGTTTTTTACGAATGTTTATGAATTCATTAACTTGGAGTGGAGCCACTTGTTGCTTCTTCACAATCTCTTGTTTCTTGATGTCATTCCATTTCTCTGGAAGTTCCTTCAATCATAAATTTAAAATAATTTTTCAGTAATAAACAATCTAAATTTAGGATAATATTAAAATTTACAAAATTATTTAAATAATCTAAATTAAATAAATGTTATTTTCTGCATGATTTGTGATTAAATTCACAAACAGACAAAAAGTCTTTTTCTTTTCTACATTGGCATCTGACATATTTGAAAATAAAAAAAAATGCCAAATTGAAACAAGTTAAGATTTTTGCTTAATATCAGGTATAAATCATTCTGGAGTTTATATTTCCATGGTTTTTGGTTTGTGATAAATTCTAAATCTTTTCTACCAAAAGGAAAGTATAAAACAGCAACAAACTATATGCGGAAGATTTGGTACAGATCAAAATACCGAGATAACAGAAACAAGGGTTGCATAAAAGAAGTGATTTTACTTCTTATTTTGAATTTAATAAAATAAAATATATCATCATTTTAAATTAACTAGTCCCTCTTAAAAATACCTTACTTCCTTAAAGTAGTTTTCTTGTAGTTGCCAAACTATATTTAATCTGTCACACAGGCCTCAGGTTGCTTTGAATACCTGCAGATCCTAAGTGGTTAATCGTTGCTTAACTTCAGGAGCCAATGACTTTACCATTAAATCCAACCTGTTTCTTTTGTCTATTTCATATCAAGCATGTTTCTATTAACACAAACAGCTTCACAATACATTTTTCATTGTAAAATGTTCAATGTATATGACTAATAAAAAAAAGTCCTAGGTTATAAGCATTGACAAGGAAGGAGATTATGTTGAGAATTTATTATTTATTCTGTTAAATATATGACTACTGTGAGACAAACAAGTTAATTTAAAGTTTGGACAAGAGAATAAAGTTTTAGAAAAGTGTACTGAAACAAAAACCTATTTGGATCTGATGGGTTTGTTAGCATACTTAATCTTGGTATGAGTTCTGATGACATTGGTAAACTACATTTTATGCCATTTAATGGACATTTATGTTTTGTTCTGCAGTTACAGATAGTTATTGATTTGTTGGTTACTTTTCTGTTGTGCTTTTATTATTATGTGTCATGTTATCAGTACAACTGTAGCTGATTTTTACTGTTTCTGTTGAATATGTTGTAGAGTGCTTGATGGAAGGAATTGTTGATGGATGAGTTTAATGAATATTTTTCTATGTTCATTTTTACATTTTTGTTGTACAGTGGGTTAAACTATGCATTGTTTCTTTCTTTTGTTAGCTTTTTTGTACTTTATGGTGTGTTAATCTTTTAAGGCTTTTCCACAATCATTTTTGGCTTCTTTAAAGATGGTTTCATTATAAGAATTGTCAGATAACCTACAGTTAATTGATTGTGAGATCTGTTTGATTATTGTAGGCAGGTGGTTGGAAGATGAGTGTATGTAAATTGGTTTGTCACTGGGTTTTCTGTGTGGATGATATATGCCCTTTCTTAGGTTGAGTACAATGTCTAGGAAATCTACTTCTTTTAATCTTGTTTATATGTCTGTGTCAAATCCTAATTTTTTAAAAGTTTGAGGACAAAGGAATTTGTCACAAGATATATTTATTGTTGCTCCATGATAGAGAAATTTCTCTCTGGCTTTAAAAGTATTTCCCAACACAAGATTTTCAGGATAAGTTAAAGAATAGGTAAAGGGGCCTATTTTAGAGAAAGATTAAATAATACAAACCTCTAGTTTTGCTTCGATTTCAGGTGGTATTGGCTGATCATAAGATTTAAGAAGCTGAATGGTATCCCTCAGAGGATCAAACATGTTGTCAGTAGCAACCTGGCGCTGATTGATAGCTCTTAAATGGCCCATCACAGCGACCAAGGCATCGTAGTCGCCTTCATTTACAACTATGGCTAAGCCTTCATTGGCAATTTGGATAAATTCTGTCAGTTCTGTCACACTGCAAAAGAAATAAACATCTCAGAACAAACATTTTAAAAATATGAAATTATTGAGTTGTAACATAAAATAATGCGTTGTTGAAAAATAAATTGAAAATATTCAGATTTTATATATAATAAAGGAAGAAAAAAAAACTGCTTTTCCTCTTCTTGCTGCTTTTTATCATAAAAAATTGTAAACAAATAATAAGCGGATGAAAAAATTGTCAAGAATTAATATTGAAAATATTTCACCTAAGAATTCAGATAATTGTTTTTACCAGTAAACAATGACGATATGTGGGTGATGCAAATGATAGAGATTTGGAATGAGAAATCAGAGAGCCAAGTTCAAATCCCAGTTGGATTTGTTACATTTCTTTATGTGCAAATACCCATATAAATCTACTCTCCCTAGCTATGGGTTAAATATTATGTCATATCTGGAGTAATCATTGTTATGCTAAAAAGATTTATTATTGCAATATTATTCACTCGCAAAAAAAAAAAAGAATTATTGTTTTAATCCCAAAAAGATTTCAGCTTTAAATAACCCAAAAAAGATTGATAACCTGTAAAATGATCAAACGAAAAATCAATTTGCCAAACAATAAAGAGATAATATAGTATGAATACATTATTCAATATTTTCAATATTTTAACAATAAAATCATTTATGTTATACATATAATTGCCATATTCTATCAGTAATATTTGTATTAATTTCTGACTACAGATAATCACTTATTTCTTGATTGTCACAAACCCCAAAGTGTATTTCAGTCATTAGTCGGAAGTAGTAGTAATTCAACAAGAGTGATGAGAAACAGAAGCTTTGCTCATTTGAATGAAAGAAGAACTGTAAAATGTGAAGATTGCGATGGTAGATATGTAAAAGAAGGTGGGTTTACTGGAAGTGGGAAAAGTTTCAAAGGATGGTAGTCAGCATATATCTCTCTTCTTTTGCTGGCGTAGTCATTTATGTGTGTTTGTCCTTGTGGCCAAAAAAAACATTGATACAGATTTAATACTTTCTCTGTAAATTTCGTATTCATTGTGTGCTGACATCAAGTTGTATTGTTGAGATTTATTGTAAATAAAATACAATTTTGGCATGAGGCCTAAAAGGGGGAAAAGGGTTGAAGCTGGTCATCACTTATTATCTTATACCGAGCTAATCCAATTCATGACCCATTCACTCGTTATAAATTGCACATCCACCATAAGAACTCATCTATCATCATTCAATCTTCCATATACTATAACACCGCATACTCTCAGGGGACCTACAAAAACACATCTCCCAACATAAGTTGGTAGACTTAAACAGGAATAGACAATACCTTGTTCAAATTTAAATTCAAATGATTTCTAATTTGCATATATGTATATAAATCGAGATGCCATATTACAGCATGGAACAAGCTTATATAGGTAGGGGGGTGATGGAAATGGCTGAATGCATTCAGTCTCTTGAAATCAAACTAGTTACATTCCATCATTGCTAATTAGACCCTGAACATAATGAATGGATGTTCTCTCAGGGAGGCCCCATGCCTTGAGCGACTATTGACCTCAACCCAGACCTCAAATAGAACTATCCTTGTGCTATCCTCTACCATTACAAAAAAGCAGATCAGGCTTAAAACGGAATATTGTTGTCATAATTGGGCAGGAGCTGTCCAGTCTTCACTCTTCCAAAAGCATCTGTGTCCCTGTGGGTGACAAATTATTCTCCACCCTGCAACCCCTCTCTCACAAATGGAGATGTGGCAACCCTCTCACTGCACTATCACTAATTCCATGGAAAGTGCTTGGACGAACTATATTCCTTAGTTCCACCAGTCCTAACCTTCATGGCTAGGACCCGCCATACAATGTACATTGTATTGAACCACCTCATTCTCTTTATATTCCATTGGTGAGAAATAAGTTCTACTTGAGCTTCTTCCCACAAACCACTGCTCTGTGGAACCAACTCCCAAAAGAATTCCCCTGCTGATCACTACAGTCTTAACCTGTTCAAATCTAAGGTTAACTGTTATCTTCCACACCTATCCGCATAAAATGTGCCTCTACTCTGTAACCCTCTACCTTGAGTTGCCCCCAGGACTTGTACAGGGTGAACCTCACTGTAAAAACAAAAAAAGAAGCTTGGATGTGCAAGTGGTGTAATGGAATGTGAAATCAGAGAGTCAAGTTCGAATTCAGGTTCATTACATTCAATTATTGTCGCAAAATTTGGTCCAAACAATAGGAAGGGAACGGGTTGGTCTCGTAAAATTAGGTCCAAACAATGGGGCGGGGGCAGGTTGGCCCGGCACCGCCTACTTCCGGAAACACTCCTCAGCTTAACGACAGCTACAATCCAGCTACAACAACTCCACAGATCTTTGCACTCAAATGTTCCAACACCGCCTCGTAGTTCGCTACACACAACTCTCCCGAGTGGTCTCCCGCCGTCACATTTATCCCAGCGAACACCAACCAATTTGCATACGCCCAAGTTCTCCTCTCGCCAATCCTCGCGGCTACGAGATCGCGTTTCCATAAGTCCATCCACACACTGGTAGATGCCCCACAAGTCTTCCACACAGGGAGAATATAGCTCGCCTCGTGAAGACATCGGGTACTTCAGGAACTGCAGTTCTGCGTCCCCATTTTAAGGTCTCTCGCTCCTGTTGAACGTTCAGGCCCAAGACACGGGCACCATCCTCCAAACGTTCTGGGTCCTTACAAGTCAGACCAAACTCAGCCAGTTTGGACCTCACGCGTGATGACGACACAACGTCTTCGTTCACATATATATCATCAAGGTACGCCGATGTCCCCTCTTTTATTGTTTCTTCCTGTGACAACACAGCGTTGACGATGGTCTTCATTATTTGGGGTGCCACGTTCAGCCCGAAGCCCAGCCTAGTAAGGCAGTACCTCCTGCCGGCAAACACCACCGTCTGAAATGGCCACATCGCCTCGCTGACCCGGACCTGCAGGTACGCTTTTCTTAGATCCAGCAGGGACACATTGGAACCCTGCTGGCGCCATTCTCATAGCTTGCTGGCACAAACGTCTGCATCTGCCGTGAACGCATCAACATGCGCGTTTAGTTCGCGGTAGTCCATCACTGGCCTCACCTTTGCTTTGTTGTGCTGAGCAACCGCCATCAGCGGGATCAGGCCTTTGAGAGGTCCAAGTTTCTCATAGGGGTAAGGAATCAACCAGCCATCCTTGATCCATTCACGGAGCTCCCCTTCGTATGCAGGCCTTATTTGATCGGGCACATGGTACTCGGCTACCTCGTTCCACAATTTGGCTGGTTCCTGGTTTTCCGACCACCTCCATGAGGTGGTCCAAGTCTTCTGCTGCTGGTCAAATTCGACACTAAAGTCCGGCTGGTCGATCCTCAGAGCTGCACACTGGGGCCCTCTCCTGAAACTGTACTGCCCCCGTCTGCGTTATGTGAACCCCACCTAAAGCTCTGATGGCATCATAGCCTAGAAGCAGGTCAAAACTCAGTGGTTTTTCGAACACTACTAGCGCCTCGGCGTTGGCGAGTTTCCAGTTCTTGTGCGGATGTTCACCGCGCCTACCCCGCAACACCTTCATGTTTCTCCACTGATGGTGGTCACCCTGACCTCTTCTTCTTCCAAGTGCGGCAGAGGTCCGCGACACTATGGTGCGGAGCAACCGGAATCGAGAAGTGCTGAGCACAATGTCTCATTAATGTAGACCTGGATGATCGGAAGCGCCTCATCTAATTTCTGCTTGGGGAAGAGGTCGACGCTGGCACCTTGTCCCCGGCCCCGTTTCCCGCACAATCCCGGACCAAATGTCCAGTCTCATTACACGGTAGCAGCGAACAGCTGTCAGTCGCCTCCTGCAGTGCCTCGCAATGTGGCCCTGGCCACCGCACCTATAACATACGACCCCACTACGGGGGCTGGGCCCCTGAAACGGTCTATCATCATTCGGCGTGGACTGTGCAGCGGCGACTACTGGTTCTCTCACCTCAGAGCTGTCTTTCATCATGGTCCTGGCCCAGTCTACCAGGTCATTAAGGGACAACGAGTCTATGCTTAAGCTCACTCGCAGGAGTTGCTTTGCTCCGGTTGGGAGCCCTGCCAGAAATTTGTATGCCAAGGCCCGCTCGGGCAGTCCACCGAACAACACCGTCAACTTCGTCAGCTCGGCCAGATACACGTCGACAGTTTCGCCTGGAAGTAAAGTTCTTGCCTCGAATTGTTCCCATGCAGTGGCGGGGTCGATAGCAAACGCCTTGTATAGTGCTGCCTTGATTCTCTTATAATCTTGTTTTTCCTCAGCACTGAGCTGTTGATACACAGCGAAAGCCCCGCCAGACAGCCGCAGAGGAATCACATGTTCAATGTTCTTTATGCCAGACAAGAGGCAATGCAATTCCACTTTTTCCACCCAGTCAAGTACCGGGGTTGAGCCATCGAACTCCGGAATCAATTTCAGGTCGAATCTGTCCCCCATTATGCCGAAATAGCTTGTCGCAAAATTCGGTCCAAACAATAGGAAGGGAACGGGTTGGTCTCGTAAAATTAGGTCCAAACAATAGGACGGAACGGGTTGGCCCGGCACCGCCTACTTCGAAACACTCCTCAGCTTAACGACAGCTACAATCCAGCTACAACAACTCCACAGATCTTTGCACTCAAATGTTCCAACACCGCCTCGTAGTTCGCTACACACAACTCTCCCGAGTGGTCTCCGCCGCCACATTTATCCCAGCGAACACCAACCAATTTGCATACGCCCAAGTTCTCATCTCGCCAATCCTCGCGGCTACGAGATCGCGTTTCCATAAGTTCGACTCACCGTAATGGTGGTGTTTCTTTCTTCGGACCAATTACTGCCCTACACGCCAGACACAAACGAACCCTCTTATGCCGAGAACTGAGGTTAGTCTCATTTTCATGTCCACAATTATGCAAATGCATTTGGGTTATCATGAATCAAAAAGGGGTATGACCACTCAAGCATATCACATCCACTCCTACCAATGCACACTGTCAGCCCATTTTTTCCTCATGAATCTGGGAAAGGCCCACATGCAACAAAGGCCTTTCACAGGCTGAGAAGAATGTTGTCTTTGAAATTTCAATAGTAAATCTGTTCTGATTGCTTGTTAATTCCTGCAAATATTGAAGGAAATCTGGCTGATGCTGTAACAAAACTTTACCCATGTGAGAATGGCTATTAAACTTCCCATCATTGATACAAACTACAAACCTGTTCATCACATGATTGACAAGGTGTTGCTTGAGCATATAACTCCATTTTTTGATGGTGTTGAGCAAGGCTTGCTTAAATGGTTGAACATCAACACGAAACCACTTGTCAAAGACAGTAGTTTTGCTAATAGCTTCTGCTTCTTCATAAATCGCTTCATATTTGTCAATCTGTCAAAAGAAAAGTCAATCCCGTTATAAAGATCAGAATTAACTATATATAACACAAATAGAAACAAAAATAAAAAAGATTTTTATTAGTACACCAAACAATGTTTTGTTGGGTGGAGCAGTGAACCATCTACAGAAACAATTGGTAAATCTCACTCAAGCCCAAAGATATATTTCTGGATTATTTTTTTTTAACAATGATGTTCATCCTGTACAAGGCTCAAGAGCCAGTCGAAGTAGATGGTTACAGAGTAAGTGGTATAGTTTATGGGGATATATATATATATATATATATATATATATATATATCCTAGACTTGAACAGGTTAATATTCTAGAGATAAGAGAAGCATCCTCTTGGGAGTTGATTCCACAAAGCAGCAGTTCATAGAGTAGTAAAAGGCTTGAAATGTTTTGTCTATGGAAAAGGGTGGAAAATAATTCATCACCCAGAAGGACATGGAGACGCTTTTGTACCCTATTGAGACTGGAAATGAAGACTGGGATGTTTTGTTTCTGCTCATATATGACAGCAGTACTCCATTTCCAGCCTGATCTGACTCTTGCAAAGGTAAAGGATAGCAGGAGGTGTCAGGTACTAACTGGAGTGATACAAGAAACCAACCCTTTTCCCAGCATTTCTTAGATGGATTGTATGTTTGAGTTCCACTTGAGGTTTGGATTGAGCTTAAGTTCCAATAGGCACTCGAGGCATGAGGGCCTCCTTGAGAGAACCTCCGTTCATTGCAATAGGAAAAAATTCAGGATGATGAGTTGTAATTAGCAAGAGTTTATGAGCCTTTATCATTGACAGAAACATTACAGGTGAAAATTTTTGCAATAGGAAAAAATTCAGGGTGCCCAAGGTTAGGTGTTGGCCAAATGTGGCATGCCAAGCAATGTTCAATGACACACAGCCACAAATGACATCACAAAGTCCAAACCAATAACTCCTACAAAACAAAGAAGATATTTAACTGTTTCAATTTGAATATATACTAAAGTATATATACTATATATTACTATATAAAATATATTGTAGAACAGGTATATTGACCTTGACTTGTATATTGACCTGGGTCTTAGAATGTGAACGTTCTAACCACTTGGCTATGGCCAATGGCACGCAGCCACAAATGGAATCATGAAGTCTGAACCAATAACTACTACAACGCAAAGAAGATATTTAGCTATTTCAATTTTAATATATATTAAAGTATATATACTATATATTACTATATAAAATAGGTATATTGAACTTGACTTGTATAAAAATACATATGCTGTAGGCATACTTAATGATTTTAAAACCCTAAGTCGGCACATAGCAAAAGGTTGCCGACCTCTGCCCTAGGTGACGAGTTGTAATTAGCAAGAGTTTATGAACCTTCATTATTGGCAGAAACATTACAGGTGAAAACTACTTAAACATGTAGGGCTATTGTTTTTTGTTTTACCACAGCTCTCCAAACGGGCTTTGGAAATAATGATGTTTCTGCAGGAGGGTGCACCTGTACATTACTTACATATCAGATGGTTTTTGCATTAAAAAATGAGCAAATAAATTGTTTGGAGAGCAGGTGCATTGATTTGTACAGCAAGATCCCCAACTATTACACCCAGCTTTTTTTTTTTTTTTTTTTTTTTTTTTTTTTAGGGGCTCTATTAAGTATGTGGTTTCTAACAGGCAACCCAAAACAAGACAGGCTTTAGAGTAATTAATTAACCAAAAGCAGAGACAATAGCATTTGGTTGTTTTCATGAAAGATTGCAAATTTTTAGTGATAATGTTCCCTTATCTGTTGAGAAAATTTGTTAATAAAAAAAAAAAAAAAATTCCTTTATATCTCTTTTTTACTTTTCATCAATTTTGAGTTTCAAATGCAGTAATCACTTTATTTTTACTTTGTCTATAATGCCATCTACACATTTGTTTGCTTTTTGGGGGATTATACCTCTTATCATGAACATATATCAAATTTATATGTTGGACATATAACTAACACCCTATTCCATCATTTGTTCAGTCAAAGTGCTATTTGTGCTCATATTAATGAATACAGATGGCAATATTTCCACTTTTTTGTTGATTATTCCTGAAAACTTCTTATGGAGAACATGGCTGTAACCCAAATGATTCAGCTGCAGTTTAAGTAATGTACATTTTTCAAAGTGGGGTTGCTAACCACACATACCTAAACATTCAGTTTTCAAACCCAGTTTTCCTTCTCTTAGTTATTAACCAAGGCTAGACATTTCTGGTATTTCACCCATAGTTGAATATTTCTACTAGTATGCACCAAACACTAATAAACAATATGTATATACTACAGAACGTTAATTGTATAAAAAACAAAGATGATGTAAAAAGCCTGTAATATAAAAAATGAAAATATAAAAATCAAGACTGCCTTGAGCTTAGAAACAGGAATTTTAAATGTATTTCACAACTGAATGATGCATTCAAGTAAAGAACTTTGCTTGTATGGCTGATGCTAACCTCCAGAAGACCAGCTCACTGCACCTTCCTGATTTCTCGTTTTCCACCAACGGGAAGTGGAATGATTATATTGAATCAATTGCTGAGTCTTCTGCTAGGAAAGTTGGTTCACTGTGTTGTGCTAGATAATTTTTCTCGCTCGAATCTAACCAACACGTTTCTAAGTCTACCATTCATTTGTGCAATGATTATTGATGCTGCATCTCATCTGGTGCTTATGTTATATCTCTTGAGATTTTTGACAAAGTCCAAAAAAGAAGGCACTGTTATTCCTCCTGAACTGCCATCTTAACTTCAGTCACTTTCCCAACGTCATATAGCTTTGCAGTACCTTTTCTATATATTTCCTCCTTAAGCTTTCTTATTTATAACTCCCTCCTCCTCCTCTCTTATTTTCCTGTTATGTGAAAAGAAACAGTTGTGTGCATATAATGGCTGGCCGCTCATATCTGAGTATGCCTGTTTGCTAGGGTGGCTAGCCAATCCTTGATGCAGCCACCTGCTCAGATACATTTGTATTTGTACAACATCCAAAGAACCCACCTGTGACTTATACTGCAAGTACACTGATTAGACCTTATTTACAGTGTCTGGAAGAGAGTGCATCATTTGGTGCAATCAACAGTATGAACAATGGCCAATACTCTCAAACCCTCTGTCACAATGACTTGGGAGTTTATGCTAGCACAACCATCAGCAAACAATTCTGTCTATTGAATTTCACTCACAAGGCTTCGATCAATTTATGGTATGGTTTTCAAGCACTTTCCAAAGTTGCTACATGCTGAGATTGACTCTTGATGCTGATAACATCAAGAATTCACCTTCTTGACAAATCGATCATGAAGAGATTTGAAACCAGGTTTCTTGATTAAAAAGTAAACATTCTAACCACTAGGCTACATATTTATATACATATGCATAAATATATCCATGTATATAACACATTTCAAAATGCGCAGATATTACTGGTTCCAGGAAGTAATACTCATTTGCGGCAGAGGGAACAAATACTGCATGCTGTGACTACCTTTCTGCGCCAATAATATCAAGAAATCACCTGCCTGACAAATCAGCCATGGGGAGATTTGAACCGGGCTTTCATGTTTAGAAAGTGAACATTCTAACAATTCAGCCATATATCTATATTTATATACATATATACATACCCATGCGTGTAACTCTTTTCAAAGTGCATATATATTACTGATACCAGAAAGTAACACTTATCTGTAGTAGAGTGAACAGCTACAACACTGATCCTAGGCGTAAGTTCCAATCTGCATGTAATTAATCCCATCAGGTACTTTCCTAGTTACTATAATTTTATCACTATCTTTATTCCATCATATTATTGTTACTTTTTATCAAAACACTTAGGGTCAATAAAAATTTCATTATTACTACTATTTTACACCTTATTGCTTAACATAACAAAAATTTCAAATATGTCATATCACTATTTTATTAAACAGACAGCTTTTTAATACATAAGGACATGTTATAGTCCAGAATGATGATGATATTTCATCATTCTAAAAATAATCTTGTCATCAGTGATGATAGAAAAGAAGGATATTTCATCATAATTCTCACCATTATAAAAATGGTCCTTCCACAAGAGAGTCAGTAGAACAGAGAACAGTAGACTAGGGTATTCACAGTAGTAGTCATCGATTAGTAGACAAGTAGCAATACAGAAACACGCTCACCAACACTCCATGAAGATCAAAAACAGATGATTTCAAATGCCATCCTCACAAACGAAATTCTCAGAACCAAACCAAGTAATCACTGACTTTTAAACAAAAGACACAGAGAACTTTTTTTACACACACCATACCAATATTCTGTAATTCACATCACAAGAAGAAAATACAAATTCTTGTTATTTATGTCAATATGTGTCAAGTTTTTATTGTTATCATTGTAAGTTTTATGCATTTTAATTCCTGCCATGTAATACCAACCTTGTTACAGATATATATATATGTGAAACATGAAATAAATTTTGTACAAAATATAGTTTTAATTATGTGAAATTTGAGACGTGTTGAAAAAATGAATACCTGGTTTTTAAATTGTTCAAGTGTTGGTGGACTCTCTGGAATATTGCCAGCTTCAAATTCTTCTTTGGTGGGAATATGATTGTAGAGAAGAAAATTTTCCATAAATTTTGCTCTGTCTTCTTTCCACAAATAAGAAAAATGGTCAAATGAATCCCGATAACTGCATGCTCTTGCCATAACACTTTCCACATTTTCCATTAGAAGATTTCTCATCTTACTGAGTTCTGCCATTGATTCCAAATCCCGCTGAAATCATAAGGAAATATTCTTTGTTTGTAAGCTCAACAACAGCAAAATTCTCAGTTCATTCTTTCCACATACAAATACAGTACAAAGGCATTTCTTTTTATTTATTTCTTAATCTATTCATAAAAATGTGTTTAACAGAAATGTTCACGCCTACATAGAAAAAAAGTACAAAATACAGATTCATAGACAAAGTCAATATTTTGTGTAAACCTTCTTCCCTCACATACACGTAATTCTCTTAGGCAAAAAACTTGAACCGGAATGCCAGGACTATTTCTTGGCATATGCATGAAGAGAAATTCTCCCCAGGGGTACACAGATGTTACATAATGAGTTTGTGCACTGTGTGATTGCTGCATTCACAATGGCTGAGTTAATCAAACACTTCACATATTAGTGCAGTGGTTTTGTTTTTTGGGGGCAAGATATCAAATCATCCAAATCTGCTGGCACCAAGCTGACTCTCATACACACTTAGCAAACGGTAACTTCTGACTTTAAAAATCACCAATAAAAGGGAGATTTTAAACTATGGATGAGATTAAGTAAAACAAGATGGGGCAGCTGATGGTGATCTCAAAAAACAAATATGCATCACTAAGGTCTATCAATCTCCCTACAGTCCAGATTTGACTATGAATGAGATTAAGGAGAACAAAATGAGACAGTTGATGGTGATCCCCAAAAAACAAATGTGCATCACTCAGGCCCATCAGTCTCCCCACAGTCAATAGTTGGCTCTCTCTGTGACTTCTAGCTTTTCCCAAAGATAAAAATTGCTGTTGAAAAGGAGGTTTCATAGTATGGATGAGATTAAGGACAGCAAGATGAAGCAGCTGATGGTAATCCCAAAAAAACAAAAGTACATTACCCTGTCAACCACCCTACAGTCTTGCTTTGGCTCTCTCCAGACTAAGAACAGAAAATATTAGCTGATGGCAATCCTGAATGATGACTTTTTGGGTTTATTTAAAAGTGTTTGAGGTCCCAAGGAGAGTAATTTGAAGGGAAGTCAGATGACATTACTCTCAATATACTTCTTTTTCATTAATATTAAATAGCTGGATATTTTTCCACACAGACCTTTTATCATGACCCTAAAGCCAGCCAGGTGAATAATTTTATCAACTGAAAGATATTCACTGAAAAAACAAAAAAAAGAACGGTGAATCATTAATTAAAAAAAAGTATTACAAGATTTATTACCAGATAATCCACTTGGCCTGTATGGTCTGCTAAGCGAGGGATATAAGTTGTTTCTGCAAAGATGGCTTCCACAAGTTCATCCACAAGATCATAGAATCCTTTTTCTTGAGAAATGTTCAGCGAAGGAGTAAAGACCAGATCAGGAGCACATAAGTCTAATTGTGTTTGGAAGAGGGGATCAATTGAATTCTTTGGATCAGTGTTATCCAATAGAAATCGCAAGTTGGTGTGGATAATATTAAAAAAGCCATCAATAACCTTGTCATCTACATACTCTACATAATTCTGCCAGGTAACATCTGTTGGATCAGCTTTGAAGTATACAAGGTTTTCCTAAAATTTAGAAATGTAAATTAACAAATAAATATCAAGAATATTTCTCAATACAGTTTTTATTAAACATATATATATATATATATATATATATATATATATATATATATATATATTATGAAATGGACAAAGTCTGACAATTATTTTAAGACATTTTTATGTTTCTACATTCTTTTTATAGATACAAATATTTAAGAAAATTCTCTGTTTATAATAAACAGTATTAAACAACATTTACTGGCCTGAATGTCCAAGAAATTTTCATAGAATGTATAAACATAAAAATGTCTTAAAATAATTGTCAGACTTTGTCCATTTCATAATGTGTGATGTCATTTGTTTACATTTGATATGCCATGAGCAGATGTGAATGTACGTGAGAGATTCATGGAAGATTGAAGTTTAAATACAGTAAATTCGACCTTGCTAACCGAACGCTCATCTGTGGCCAAATTGGCAAAGGCACGTCAAGCTAAATGACGGTTCTGTATAGGATACAGGTTCAAATCCTGTCGGAGGACAAATATTTTCTATGAAAATTTCTTGGACATTCAGGCTGGTAAATGTTGTTTAATACTGTTTATTTTAAACAGAGCATTTACTTAAATATTTGTATCTATAATACCATGCCTCTTCCCGATGTCTCGGTTATTTCCCTTTAACTCAACGCTCCGAGTCTTTGGTTCACTACTGCTGTGGCCTGGTATTGAACTCACAACTCTTTGGGTCTAGTCACTGGATCTAACCAACGTTTTTATCCACTGGGCCATGTGTCCTTGAGGACACAAAGGGTGGACAAAATAAAGGGTTCAGTTTGAAATTCCAGTCACCTGAAGAAGACCAGAGCATACAGCAGTCGAAACATTGTGAATATGGCAATGAAGCTGAGGATAACAGTCCAAATAATGTAAATAATGCAAATAATCATAATACCTCATCTCAGAGATATAGACAGATAATCAATGTTTGTTTATATTTTCATTACCTTCCTCCTACATATATGATTCTATTAATGGTGGTATTATTTAGTCTGAAAAAGTCTTTTGAAAGATGAAACGCGTTACATAGATTCTTTATCCATTTTGTCATTCAGTTGCTTACCTGTAGTCTGATATATACAATTTGTATCATATTCTTCAATTGTGGTTAGACTTACAACCATATAAGGTTGAAAAACTGGTTCTCATATGATCTCTGGAGTTAAGCAACACTGAGCCTGGTTAGTACCAAGACTGGTGACTAATTGTGAATACCAGATGCAGTAAGCTTGGATGTGCAGGTGATATGGCTTATGACGATAACATGTTGAAACACTGTTCTCATATGATCAACAAAGTTAAGTAACATTGAACCTGGTCAGTACTTGGATGGGTGATGCTTAAGAATACCAGGTACTGTGGATATGTGGGTGGTATAATAGATATTGGCATGGAATTGGAAATCAGAGTTCCAATTCCAACCTGGCTCTGTGATTTTCAGTTCCAGTCAAGTTCATTATATTCACCTAAGTGCAGATACACTTGGGAAAAGGTATAAATCGACCACTTCTCTACCCCTGCTATAGGTTAATTAGTAAGACTTGTATCAATAAATCATTATTATCTCAAAAGATACTTACAATATAAAAAGATTTCCTAGCTTTAAATAACCTGCAAAAGGTTGATAAGCCATAAAAATTAAATTGATAAACCCAGTGAGTTTAATGCTGAGGAAATATTGAACATTAACAAGAAAATGTAGAGCAACATTAAGGTGTTGATATTATGAAAATATAATGCAATTTTTTTTAACAGTATTATAAATAAACTTGTGATTAAAAATGAAAAACATATTTTCAAGCAAGATTTATTTACCTGGACAAGTTGGTGAATAGTTTCTCCAGTCTGTTTTATTTCCGCATAACACTTTGATAAACGTTCCTTTTTGTCATCAAGGTTGAGTAGAGAACCAAACTTTTCTTCTTTCCGTTCAAACAAAGTTTTGTTCCGAGCTGCCATTAATTTCATTATCTTTGACACATTATCTTTGGAGTTTTGTACATTGGATGTCAATTGATATACCATATTCTTTGTTGTTTCAATGTACTCCATCATACCTAATAGAAAACAGATGCAGGAGTGTTTCAATTCAATTTTTGATGGCAAGGTATTGTAGTAAACAAATCTTTGAAAAACAGGTTGCATCTCTCTAATGTTCTGTGGTCTGGCAACTCCTATTTTCAAGCATGTTTTGAGGATTCTCTACTAGAATTCTTTGATTTGGCTTCAAACTGTGGTCTGAACCATAATTTAGTAGTTTATGAAATGATTTGTTAAACCAAATATCTCAAGCCCCAACCACAATTTGAAACTCTGTCAATGGACTAAATTTGACAACTTTCAATGTTTATTTTAGCATAAAATTCAAGCAATTAAAAAGTGTAAGTAAACAAATAATTTTCATTTATAATCATTTAAATTATGCAATATCTGGCAAGAATGACAGTTACAGTCTCATTAACAACTTTACAAAATCACGGTCAGAAGTATATAAGCACTTAAACTGACTTTGAGTACTACATTTAGATCTTTTGAACACCCAGTCATATGCAAGAAAGATGTGACTTTGATAATGGTTAAATTGTTATGGCCAGAAGACTAGATCAGAACATTTCTAGAATAGCACAGCTTGTGAGGTTCCCATGTTCAATTGTGGTAAATACCTATTGGTAGTGAGCTAAAGACGCAACAATTACCAAAAACTGCATAAAGCAGGTAAGAATTAACAATTCAGGAAGTGTGGAAAGGTTGTTTTTTTTTACTAAATATAAGTAAGTAGAAAGGCCCAACTTGTAGATAGATTTAATTAAGTTGACAGAATGCATTGCAACACAGTATATTAATTTCTTTTGCATATGGAGCTGCAGGCCAATCTGTAGTGAACTGTCATGAATTCCAAATAGCTGAAAAACCACTTGTCCACCATGTTGGCTTCCTTAACTGGTTCACTGCCACTGACTTTATAAGCATTTGAAGGTTATCCATAGTCAGAATGGATGGGTTATTCCATCAACCCTGTAGATAGCATATGTAGGCTATTCCATTGTGTAGGCGTTCCGAAAGCAAAGGAAGTATTTGTCACAGATTACTTCCACAACACAAAGAAAAGTCACTGTAAGTACAGACTCGAATATCGGGTGCAGAAAAAAATGCTGAAAACACGATTCGCTGGTACTATCTCAAATCACAATGCGTGTAACCAGTCAGAAAAATAACTCACTCTCTAACAAACGCTGTAGCCACAATGCCCGAATTTTTCGCTGTCGATTCGAGAACACCACCAGCAGAACCATTTTTTTTTTTTTTTTTTTTTTTATTCGTCGACAGCTGGGAGAGGATGTTCAGTAATTTGCATATCAAAATACTTCCATAGCGACTCCTGCGACGGACTTGTTTTTTTAATTCAAATATTCCATTTTCAGCATCTCATGTGGAATACGTGCCCTTTTGTTTGGTAAGTCATTTTCTTTTTCGCCCCATTTTCCATCATAGAATACACGTGACGCGCTGTTGCTTGGTTTGATGAGGTAAGTCTCCGTTTTCTTCGCTATACATTGATCATTTTATTTTATAAACAATGGAATAAATTTTATTTTTAGCATGAAGCCAGTGGAATTGGCATGCACATGCCCTTAGCCTTTTTGAAGGTAAGTGTATTTCTTCTGCACACAATCAGTGTACCCCTATTAACTAATGTCCCTCAATGAAAGCATTTTCAATGAACAGCATCTGAACTCTGGTTCAATGAGCATCACTTTCCCTTGAATCAAAAGGATGGCAGAGACCATGCAATGATACCAGAATGCACATACAACAAGACAGTGGAGATAATATAGTGGTTTTGAGCTCTACTGATAAACAATGGGTTCTACACTTCACATGGAAGGTAATTTGTAGCATATCACCTATCTCAACATCACCGAAAAAAAGATAAATTGTATCAGAGCAACTGTCTTCTATGTTGACAGAGGTATCCTGCTCCATAGCATGACATTTAGGAGAATAATTTTCAAAACATAAACAAGATTTCATTGGGTTGCCCTGGCTGCCAAACCTTTCAGATTTCAATCCTATAAGAAAATGTGTGACCAACAAATTTGCTCTGCAGAAACTACCTTTGCAACAGTTAAGATTTTGTTTAACATCCTGGCATCATATCCCAAAGAAAACCTTTAGAGCCCATGCTTGATTAAATAAAAGTTATTTTGCAGGCACATAAAGAACTGACACTACATTATGCTGGTAGTCATAATGGTTTACTTCATCACAATTACTGAATTAACGAGCTACAAATGGATTAGATATGTCCTTTGACATCCAGTCAGTGCCTTTAAATCTGACTGAAATTTGATGAAAATTTTAAGGGCACTTACAGATGTTTAGAATTCCCACAGCTGCCAAATTTCATCTTCTGGCAGTAACACATGGCATTATAAACATCAGTCCAATCTTCTTGATTTTATTTGGCTGGCATTTCTAAATTTTGTTTGGACAACTGAACTCCTCCTTTCTGAAGAGTTTGGAATTACCTAAATACATGGTTGGTGGTAATGCTTTCACTTGTATCTCTAACATTGCTAAAATGGAATGATACAGTTGATATATATATCATTTCACCCCAAGCAAGGCAATAAAGCAACTAGAATACAAGAGGTTACATAGTAAATGAAATAGAGAGGACAATAAAAGAACAGGTTTCTAAGAGACAGAAGATGATTAACATTACATTTAAATTCTTCAAAATTGTAGTTTACATGAAAGCAGGAAGTCAGAAGAGATTTCTACAAGTAAGAAGTGTATGAAAAGAAACAATTAGCATAGAAATTATGATTACAACAAGCAATTTCAACAGTAAAATAATGAGACCTAGCTGCCAATCTAGTACTGCACTTAAATTTGTGAAATCGATGTATCAAAGAGGAAAGCTCATCAGACAATTACCTTGAAACTATTTAAAGAAGAAGCAAAGTGGGGGGGAAATGACTGAAAGAGAGATGCTAGGTCAAGATCAATAATATTGAAAATTCTTCTTTGGATTTTGTCAAGAATCTTGCGATTGACAGCAGAAGCACCAAACCAGACGTGGCAGCAATATTTGATACACAAATGAATATTAGACTTATAAATATGCGATAATTTGTGCAAGATTCTGTTGAGAAAAATTGTTTAGCACGGCATATTGAGCTGACTTTCTTAGCAGTTGATTCAATATAATCATTCCACCTCATGTCAGTGGAAAACAGACTAAGAAGATATAGTGAGTTACCCAACTGGAGGTTAGCATCAGCCATACTGATGGAAGAAAATAAAGCTTCTTTAGGATGATTAGTAGAGAGCAGTTTCATTTTAGAAGCATTAAAATTAACAAGCCAGACCACTTTTTGCTCCAGTTCCCAAAAGATTGTAGTTCATTATAAAGATCAGCTGTCAATTTGATTTTATATAACCAAACTTGCTATTAAGACAAGAGTCAATAATTGTGTCATCTGCCTAAATACCAAGTTGAGAACTGATGACATCAGGAAGGTTATTGATGAATATAAAGAACAGAGTATGTACAAAAATAGAGCCCTGGTGAAAGTTCACATTAATGCAAAGTGGTCTATCATTATTTTCTGAGGAAACAAGGTTTTTTTTCTTTTCTTACAGATTGAAACCTGATGAAGGCATAAGAGCTGATTGGCTAAAGCACTGTATTAACAACAACGTGCACACACAAAATAGTTCAGTTGTCCAAAGTAAATACTGAATGGTAATGACACTCCACAAAGTTGTAGACAATATATTTCATGCCCTTATTTAGTTTTTAGGCTTCTAAAAGATTGTTGATTGATTTGTTTCTTTTTTATGGCTTATCAACCCTTTGTGGGTTATTTTAAAGCCAAAATATATTTTGAATTGTACAAATAATTCTTTTTTTATGAATGAATATTGCAGTAATAATTTTTTGAGAATAATCAGTTTTGCAGATACAAGTCCTACTATTTGAGGGGGAGGTGATGTTGCTTTTGAAGGGATTCATGCATTATTTATGGCAATTATTTTTACTCCTGGTTTCAATTAATATCAATCTTTGGTATTTAGAGAGTGAAAATCTGAAAACACAGTCAGTTTTCTTCTGTGTGCCATGTCCCTTCAGGATGTTGGCAATCATAACTCTCCACAATTTCCTGTCCTTTGTAGCTCTTAATAACTTTTGTCTTTTTACCATCTCTCGCAAACCTTGTTCTGCCATCCATTTTAAAGCTCACCAGGTAATTTATGCATTACTTTTCTATGGCCCTCTTAACTTCAATCTGTCCTGTGATATCAAATTTTCCAAGCCCTCTTTCCTCATTATATGCTCTATAAATTTCAACTATCTCTTTCTGATGTTAAGTATGTCTCCTTTTTGTCTTCATTGTTGGTTGCACGTTTGGTCCATGGTATTTACAGCATCCTTCTGCATAACCACACTTCCAGTCTCTTCTTCATCTATGATGAGATTGTCCAGCATTCACTGCCATAGAGTAAGACTGATACTACATAACCATTCAGTACTCTTTTCTTTGTTTCTAACAATATTTTTCTGTTTCATAATATTTTGTTCAATTTTTGGAAGGCATCTATCCCATAGTGCCTCTGGATTTCTATATCACACTTCCTGTCCTCTCAGATATCAAAATTATTACAACCTGTTGGCTTTTGGTATCTCCAATCCGTAATATGCATGTTGGGCTGCTCCTTTTGCTAAAAAGCCATGCATTCAGTCTCCTTGTAATTGATGCTTAGTCTTTTCTTCTTGCTTTCCTTCACTACCATCTCCAGGAGTTCTTGTACTTCCCTTTCTGTGTCTGCTATCAACCCTGTGTCATCTACATACCTTGGTAAGATTGTGGTTGCCAATAATGAATCCTGGTAGGTTTTCTAATAATCTCAGAATGGCTTTGCCATATAAGTTGGAAAGGTCTGCTAAAAAGATGCAACCTTGTCTTACACCCCTTTTTATTTTTGCATATTTACTGAACTCATTTCCTATCCCTATGCTGGCAGTTTGCTGCCAGTATAGGTTCTGGATTATTCTAATATCCTTCCCATACATTTCAAGGTTACCTAGCAGTTCCAGCAGTTCATGGTTATATATTTTATCAGAGACTTTTGCATAA